TGATGGAGATAATAATAATAATAAATATGACAATAATAATAATAATAATAATAATTATTATTATTATTATTATTATTATTATTATTATTATGACAATGATAACAATAGTAATAAAACAAAGGAAATGAGTATTGTATAAGTTATATTAAGGATCACAAGTTTATGGATGTGTCATTCCCGGCCGGTTGGTAATCCCCTCCCTTTCTTTGTAAGATACCCGAGTTCGAATCTCACCCCAAGCACTTTTTTTTTTTTTTTTTAATTTGGTCGCTTTTCCGTCGGAGATCCGTAGCAATCCCGGGGAAAAACACAAAACCCATTTTAGCGGGGTTTTTTTGGGCAAAAAATTCTAAAACCCAAATAACCCCGCCACCCCCAAATTCGCTTACCTAGGTTTAATATTTCCCTCGGATTCAATCAAATACTATCGATTCACCTTCCGCCTCCTCTTCCCCATCTCAGATGTAGCTCCCCGCTCTTTGCTATCGCCGTCATCGAATCACCTTCCAACATCGTTGCACATCGCTATCACCGCTACACCAAACTCTTCCTCGTTGGAAACCCTTCTTTTTTCCACTACTTCTGATGATCGGCCTCAACCTGTCGCCGCCCTCAGCCCTTCGTCAGCGAAACTCTCTTCTCGTCGGCGCCCAACCGAACCCTTCAGATCGTTGACCACCAACAGGTATGTTCCTCGGTTCTTGTTTTCAATTTGTTTAAAATCAGTGAAATCAATTTTCTGAATTGAATATGAGTTGTTGAATATGAAATCGATTTTAATCGATTTTCTGGTATGCTTAAATTGATTTACTTATATGTTGATTTCCGGTTAAATTATTTTCCACTTCTTATCAATTTTACTGATTTACTTCACCGCTCCATCGAGGACCAACACCGCTGCAATTTCCGGTGGTAACTCTTTTTGTCGACTAATGTACCATTCGATTCCCTTCCATTTTGCTTTAGTTATTATCGATCATTGCTTGTTACCATACTTGTTTGGCTAATATATAGTTATCTACCTGGAGTTCGAGTTCTTGTCACTGTCTGGAGTTCGAGTTCTTGTCACTGTGACATCTTGTAGCACTTGGTTGGCTCTCTTTCTCCCTTTCTTCTTATTTAAGTTTATAGTCATTCCATCTCTAATAAATAGATTCATCTACTTAGTTTTTTAATGTCTTTCTATTGACGATTCTAATTTGAGTTGTTTGTTGAAGATTGACTGTTGGATATATGTGCAGATAGTGATTTTGGAACTAACTTGTGCAGATAGTGGTTTTGGAACTAACTACTAATTTAATGAGGTAATAACTTGTAGCCTTTGGTACAGATGAGTTTATTTATAACTTTTTTATACGATATGATTTCTTTTATATGCTAAAAGAAAACTATAACTAACTACTTTTATATGTAACAGTTACACATTCTTTCAATTAGTAATTGATACTTGTTTTTACATTTTTTCTTTCGGTTAGGAATTGATACTTGTTTTTACATTTTTTCAGGCAAGCTTAGCTTGCACATTGTTAGTTTGATACAGGATTGTTGCTCTATTTCACTGTTTCAGTGGATAATACTTGCAATATTTGTATGGTTGCAAGAAAAAGAGCCAAAGCAAGAAGCAAAGGCAATGTTAGAAATAGTTACAAAGAATATCTTCATACAAAGTAGGGTAGGACAATTGAAATGCATTGTGTTTGTATGAATATGAATTGTATTGGTTTGTATTTAAGCTACTTCTATGTAATACATTAAGTAAATGCAAAGTATAATGTTATAATTGGCAAAGTTTATAGTAATGTTTATTAGTTTTGTGGTTGATTAAGTAATTCATTATATGTTTAATTTCTGTATTTTTTCTTATTTTATGCCGAAAAATATGGATTTTTATTTTTATTTTTTCTACTCATTTTAGTGACGGATTAGTGACGGAATTTCCATAGATAAAAGTTTCCGTCGGAAATCCGTCAGCAATAAAGTCAAATGACAGTCAATGTGGTGCCTGTCGGTAATCCGTAGGAGATCCGTCGCTCTTTCAGTCCGTAGTTATTCCGTAGGTAAATTACCGATGGAAAAAAGTTGTCGGTATTCCGTAGGTAATCCGTCACAAATTCGTCGGTATTATTTACCCACGGGCGTTTATGCTAACGACATGTTTTCCGTCACAATTCCGTAGGTAACGCTCTATACCTACGGATTCTGTTGTAGGTATTTTCAGATTTTCTAGTAGTGAATGCTTATCAAGTCTTACAAGGATTTATTGCACTAGTTGAAAATCAATTTGGGACAAGAATTAAAACCATCCGATTAGACAATGGTTTTGAACTCGGTTCAAGTAGAGAAGCAACTCTATTTCTTCAAGAAAAGGGCATTTTACATCAAACTAGCTACATAAGTACTCCTCAACAAAAACCGAGTTGTTGAGAGGAAACATAAACATTTGTTGGAAACTTCTCGAGCACTTTTCTTTCAATCCAATTTTCTTATTACTTTTTGGGGGAATGTGTTCTCACAACAACGTATCTCATAAACAGATTTCTAACAAAATTGTTAAATGGTGATACTCCTTTGTTGAAGTTAACTGGGACAAAATCTTCATATTCTCACCTTAAAGCATTTAGGTGTTTATGTTTCATGTGCACGCTTATAGAACATCGAGACAAATTTATCCCTCGAGCTTCTCCTTGCGTTTTTATTGGATACCCATTTGGAAAGAAAGCTTATAAGCTTTACAATTTAGATACTAAGATGGTGGTAATTGTTGGATTAAGTTGTCTAAGCTCATAACTATATATATATATATATATATATATATATATATATATATATATATATA